TTCAGGTTTCAGAGAGGAAAATTCTAACAATTACAGCTGCTGTCCCAAAGTAGGACAGGCTGCCATGGGAGGTAGTAAGTACCATTTTCTCTTCATTGGAAGTCTGACTTCAAGCTCTAATGGATGATCACTTTTGGGGGATGTACAAGGACTGTTCAGCTGCAGGTTGGATCAGTTGGCTTCTGAAGGCTTTTTCAGGTCTTAGATTGGTAATTCTGTGCAGGTTATATTAAGTGTCTCCTATGTGCTTTTACTTTCCTAAACACAATGGGAAATAAGGAAGAAGTATAAGACTTGACACATACATACCACAGGGAGCATGTAGTCTAGTGGGGATTACGAGACACAATCATGTGAAACAACAACAAAAAATACAAGGTATTATATAATAAAGGCAACATGATATAATGGAAAAATCCAGACTGAGAGCTCAGACCCCTTAGTTGAAGTACTTGGCTCTGCCACTAAGTAACTGTGACCTCTGATTGAGTTCTAGCTTTTACTCCCTTGCTCTATGGCAATTCACTTAACCATTGGGGTTACAGTTTCCTGACCTATAAAACAAAGGTGTTGAGGCATAGATTTCTGAAGCACTCATTTTTATGATATACTCACCCCTACTTCCTAGCCAGACTTCACTTAAAATTTTGTTCTGCACCTTGGGCATGCGATACTCTGTGTCTCAGTTATTTGTGTTAGGATCTTATCACCCTATTAGTCAGTATATTCCATGAGGGCTGGGACCACATCACCATCATCCACATCATCATCTCTTACCTAAACTTCTTTTGTCATTTCCAGTGCCTGCCATACTGCTGTGTATACAAAAGGTGCTTATTTCATGTCTGTCAAATTGAACTGAAGCGAGATAATTAAAAGAGGAAATGAGATAGGCTTAAGTCTCTGGAAGACTGGACTGTTGTTTTTGCTCTAACTTAAAGATTTTATTCGTCTGAGAGAGAAAGGATGGGGAGGGGAAAGAGGAGAGACTAGGAAAGAGTGAATGTCTATAGGAAAACAGAAATACACTCACTATTCAGAGAGGATCCCTCCAGAGATGCTTATTATAGAAACAGGACTAAAGGGGACCTTCAGATGTCATTTAGTTCATACTGCTGTATTCAGGCAGGCTTGAAACTAAACTGAACCAAACCAGTGGCATGTCCCTACTACTAGACTTTCAGTCCCTTCTGTCATTCACCAGACCTGTGCATTATCTTAGAAGATTGTCAAGGGGCAAAGCTTGCGAGGGTCTCTAAGAAACTGATTTTATTGCTGGGCAAAAAATTATTACAAGCATTTAGGCAACAAGGTATTGCAGCTGTTTCACATAATCTCTGACAGATTCAAACATTTGTCATGGCCTGGGCCAAGCTCTCTGAAGCTTATTGAGTAAAATGGAGGCCCATTAAGTTGCATTTGCTGGCCTTTCCTTTCTCGTAGCTTTGCAGGTGCCCTTCCTTCTTTCTTGAAACTTTGCCTACCACTTTGTCAATGGAAACCATTTTCTCCATTATCTTTGACAAGTTGGCAATGGATTTTTTGCATTGGACATGTTTTTTGAGCCTGAAAACTAAATCACAGCGTGTACTTTGTCTGGTGTCCACGTATCTAGCAGAGTGGCCATTTTTAACTAAGGGTTCACTGAGCTACAAACAATTCCAGCTGGTATAGTTTACAGCACTGCCTCACATGCCTATCAAAATATTGTACTATCAACAGCACTGTTGGGGAGGATATGTAATGCTCTGCTTATTAGCCTCATAAACTTCCTTTTGGAACAACCTTTTAATTCCCTCTACCTCCCTACCCCCAGGCCGCTTTTTTGGATTGCGGGGAGGGGCAGAGAATGGAGGTGGAAAAGGTTATAGTGTTACCTGAGGCCATCTGGGAAATTTGAGTTGGTCTATCAGGGCTTACACAAGGCTTTTGTTGTGTTATCTTAATCTTGTATTCTTCATTAGGCCATTGGAGGCTTGATGTATATTTTCATAGAGTTTGAGGGTTTTTGAGTTTGTTAGAACCTTAGAGGTCTAACTCAAATCACTGCCTGCTGAAGGAAACCCCACTACAAAATCCTGACAAGTGGTTTTGATGGTCCTTATCATTCCCCTTCACATGTCTCTGGTTTTTATCTATCTCTTTCCTTTGCACTTTATATTTGTAGTTTAGGGGTCTGGGTGAATGATTACGGGCAGGTGAGGAGGAAGAGAGAAGAAAAAAATCAAGAAATGACAGCCTTCAACATAGTGATGGTAACATTTTAACTTGAAAATGAATCGTCTTTGTTTCCTCCAAAGCACCGAGCACAGTGCTTAGCACATAACAGGTGCTGGATAAATATTTGTGGAAAGTGGGAAGGAGCAAGGAAGATTGACCGAGAATAAATTGCATAGTTCATACAGACATAAATAATATGCAAATGAGATGCAAACCACATGTGATTTTAAAATATACTTTGTGCATTTCTCCATCTTTCCCACCTTCCCATTAGAAAAATCCTGTGGAGGCAAATCATAACTTGTTTCAAATCCTTTTTGGAAGAAGTGGGAGTATACATTTTAAATACATAAATAACAATAATACTTTGTACTTATATAGATTTTTTAAGAGTTCCTTCAAATATATCAATTTACCCTCACAAATTGCCTGTGAGTTAAGCCAGGGCAGATATGATTATCCCCTATTTTATAAAGGAAGAAACTGACTCAGAGAGGTTAAATGGTCTGTTGATCTGCTAGCAAGTAAGCAGCCAAAGTTGGACTGCAAACCAGGTCTCCTGACTCTTAATCTGGTACTCTTTCCAGCACATTTTATTTTTATCACTACTAAGTTTCATCTCGTTGGAGTTGGATTCTAGCCTTGATTTGGGCCATCATTCTAGCTTGTCAAGATTTTCTTGGATTCCATTTTTTTTTCATATCGCACATTAGCTATCTTCCAGATACATGTCATCTGCAAATTTGATAACTGTACTGTTTAAGTGTTCATCCAAATCACTGATAAAAACATTGAACAGAATAGGGCCAAGGACAGAGCCCAGAAGCACTCTACTAGAAGCTTCCCACCAGGTTGAAATCAAACATATAAGCATGATTTTGTTTGGTCTAGTCATTTAAGCAGTTGAATTCATTCAACTCTACTGTCATCTAGGTCATGCAACTCCATGTTTTCTAACTCAAAACTTTTTTTTTAAGTGTTAAAATTTTTTTTAACATGTAATTGGAAAAAAATAAAATATTATTATATAAAAAAGTTTATAATAAAAAAATATAGAATGAAATAGAGCTATGACATTACCCTGCTCAACTTATCTAATAACATTGTCAAAAAAAGGAAATGAGGTTAGTCTGGTATGACTTGTTCTTGATTAACTCATTCTGAGTTATAATGATCATCACTTCCCTTTCCCAGTATTTACAAGCCATCTTATTAATCAATCCATCAGTGATTGATCTTTTTAATAGTGTGTTTTAGAATGTTGCCAGTAATTGAAGTCAAGCTCACTGGCCTATAGAGTTAGTGGAATCAAGTTTTTCATTTCTAAACATTGGAGCATTTCTCTCTCTCTCTCTCTCTCTCTTTTTCTCTCTCTTTCTCTGTCTTTTCTCCCCCACCCCACTCTCTCCCACCTCCACCATCAACCTCCACTGTATCGCTCTCTCTCTGTCTTACACACACACACACACACACACACTCCAAAAGTGGCTTAGCAATCATATCTACATATACAAGTTTTCTTGGTAACCTTGGATATAGTTCATCAGTGCTAGGTGACAAATTCATAAAGGACAATTAGGTGCTCTGCTAATAGTTTCCCACTTATCTTGGTTTTCAATAGACTAATTATCTATTTTTTTGTCTTATTATCATATTTCTTGGGAGAGAAAATAGAAGCAAATGGAAATCGAACAGTTCTGCCTTCTCTCTTAGTGGGTATTATTATACCATTCAACCCCTTGAAGTCTTATCACTTCTTCCATTGTTCTCTTGCCTACAACATAAATGCTAAGTAAAACTCCAGAAAGGGCCTTTCTAGTTAACACAAGTTCATTCTTTCTTTTAGTATTCCTGACACGGTCATTATACTCTTTTGCATTTATCCCCAGTATATGGCTCTTTTTAAAAACAGAGAGGCCGCAAGGAATAATGGAAGGCATACTAAGGAGACCTGTGTTCAGATCCTACCGCAGTCACTTACAACTATGTGACCTTGGGCAAGACACTTCACCTCTGCACTTCAGTTTACCCATCTTGTAAGATAAAGGGTTGGGCCTGATGGCCTCTAAGGCCCTTTCTAATTATAAATCTCTGATCCTATGAGAACTATGATTCTAATATCTGAATTGGTCAAAAAGTCTGAGATACCCCTCCCCCTTTATTTTCTCCTATCTGGATCATTTGCTTTTATCAACTTGGAGAGCTCTTTTTTGTATTGTATTTAGTAAAGTAGATTATTAGGGAAATGACTTGCACTTCTCAGTATTTCATGCCCATGCTGTTTCTTTTTAATGTAATATAACTTGATGGCTCTGGTAATCATTTTTCTTTTCCTATTGGGATATAGACTTCCTGGTTCCCTGATTCTATGTCTTAGTTTGAGCCATTATGAGGAATATCTAGGGATCAGTAGAGGCTTTTCTGATTGGCCTCTGTTCTCAGACAAATGGGTAGTGTAGTGGGAACAGTGCTGATCTTAGAGGCAAGAAGACCTGAGTTTGAATCCTCTATGACCCTGGGCAAGTCACTTAACATTTTTCAACCTCAGTTTTCTGTAAACTGAGGGTAATAACAGCACCTACCTGCCAGGGTGAGGATCAATGAAATATCATGCAAAGTACTTTGAAAACCTTCAAACACTATGTAAGCTTTAACTATTATTATTCTCGACACACAGTACTGGGGGAGGATGAGAGGTGTACCAGATGTGGGTGTGGAGCAGGAGCCAGGGGCCAACCTTGACTGATGACCCTATTTTCTTTGTGTTGTGACTTATGCAGGTCCAGTGGCCGTAATCAGTGGTGAAGAGGATTCAGCTAGCCCACTACACCACATAAACCATGGTATCACCACACCCTCGTCGCTGGACGCCGGGCCGGACACAGTGGTGATCGGCATGACTCGAATCCCTGTCATCGAGAATCCTCAGTACTTCCGACAGGGACACAACTGCCACAAGCCGGACACATGTGAGTACTTGAGTAGAAGAGTTCCCCTTTGGAGAGGGAGGGGGCTGGTCTGGCCAAAGATCCAGGATTGGGGATTCTTGCACTAGAGATTCATTCTCTGCCATCTACCACTTCCTGCCCACTTCCAAATAGGCTCTCCCTGCCTGGCTCTGGAACAGATGTGAGGAAGAATCTCTATTGTGTTCCGAGTCAGCAGGGGAGGAAAAGGTTCAAAGCACTGTGGAGGGAGGGCCTTACCTTCTGCTGCCTTCAGTAGCCTCCTGCCCTCCTGCCTGTCCCAGGGTACGCTCAGTGATTTTACCTAAGGTGATCTATTTATTTCCCAAGTCAGATAAAGCTCAGAGAAGATTGGGAAGAGAGGTCAGAGGCAAAGGGTCTGTCTGATGAGGAGAAGGGAAGAAATAAACAAGACATATCTTGGCTGTGACCCAGTCTGTGGCTTTACTACAGATGATCTATGTCTAGCCAGAGTGCAATGTTATGAGTAAGCAAAACTCTTGCAAAGCCAGTGACTACGGTAAAGAAGGAATGAATGGGAAGGAAGAACCATTTGAATATAAACATTCTCTAGCTTCTCCTCTTAGCAGGGAAGACTAGACTTTGAGTGTGCTGCTGTTTGTGTTCAGTCACAAAACAAGCTACACACATGGGTAGACAAGGACTCCCAGTATTCCTAGAGGACTCAGTTCCTTCTTATCCCTTTGCATCTCTTCTTCTTGCCTCTGTGCTCCTTGTTGGCCCCTTTCTTGGACACTTGGACTTGCCTGAATGGCTCCTTTCCTAAGGCAGAACTTGTCGCTCCTGACTGCATCTCCTCTCCAGGCTCGCTCTGTGCCCAGAAGAACCAAACCCCCATAGTTTTGCAGGAGGAAGGGCTGGGCATTTGGCTGGAGAGCCCAAACATCTGAGGCTTCTCAAATGTTACTCAGTCACATATAGATAATGGAATCTTGGAGTTAGAAGAAAGCTTAATCCAAATGCCTCATTTTATAAATGAAGAAACTGAGGCCTAGAGAGGTGAAGTGAACTCCACTTCATCACCCTGCTCCACACACTCAAGACTAACCATCTATCTTTCAACTATTTGAAAGTGAAGGCATACTGCAGCATTAGATTTTTCTTCTTGCTTGGGCGGCCCCCTAATTTCTCTCACACCTTAGCCAAATTGATTCAGGAAAGGAGGTTTATTCAGTACTGCTAATGCCCATTCATTTTGGGGTCACAGTAGGATGGGTATTTGGCAACTCTTCCCCAAATCTTTTCTTCTACTGATAAGGCTTTCAGTGAGCTAGCTGGAAGATACCAGGTAATAGGCTTGGTCCAGCAGTAGATATCTGCACCCCCAAAATGCTGCTGCGCAAACATTAGCTGTCTCCTAGTTCTAGGAACAAGACTTAGATTCTGAATAATGGCTGTATCAATGGCAAGTAGAGGGAAGGATGGGAGGAGAGCAGGTAAGAACCCATATTTTAGGCATGTCCTGTGGAAATAATGGCATAGCTTTGGCTCAAAGCCTTTTCCAGAGACCAGGCTTATTCTAGACAACTCTTGGTCCTTCTTGGGTTTGATGGAGAGAGTAGCTTCCTCATGGGGTTGGTTATTGGTACCATATTTCATTCTAGGGTTGATGATCATAAGCATTCTGGGGAGGCAGCTGTCTTTGATCAGGGATTTGGGAGCTACTGGGTTGGAGATGTTCACTTTAGCTAAGCTTTTGTGATCCAGGGGCAGAATAATCTGATCATTATTTACAGTGTATTAAACACCAATGGTGAAACAGGCTCTTTATGCATGCAATGTACACATTTCACCCTCAGACTGATAGTGTACTACCAAGTTAGGGTGAAAGGAGGACCTAGTAATAATCATTGACCTGATTGTTTCTTGCCAGTCAGTCAGAGGATGATAGACTATTAGAGCTGATAGAGAATTCCTCAGTGTGGAAACTGAGGAATAGAGAAGTGAAAAAATTTCTCATATAACTAGTTAGTGGTAGATGTAACATTTGAACCCAGGTCCTCTGATTCCAAATATGGTGCTCTTTCTACTATCCTACCAATGTATAGAAGATGATAGGTATAATACCATCCCTGAAACTTCTGGATTTTAGGACAACTAGAGACCTGTTTGTAATTTTTGTTTGTTATTTATTTATTTATTCATCTATCTATCTATCCATTTGTTTATTTATTCATCTATCTATCTATCTATCTATTTATCTATCTATCTGCTTATCAGGTCCCTCCTGAATTATTTGCATGAAGACTCAGGATGTAAAATTGGCATTGAGACTCATCTAGGGAAAAAACAGATTTTGACCCTACAAGGGGCTTATAGGTGAGGGGAGAAAACCTTATCAAAAGGGTAAATAATATGGTTGTGTATTGTAGAATAACCTAGGTATAGGAAAAGGGCCCTTACATTCTGTCCTATGCAAGGACATGGGATAGTTCTCAGTTTTTCCCAGAAAACACAAATGGTATGAAAAGCAACACACAGGAGCAGTGTAGCCAGACTTGGCTAATCCTCTTCATTCTGCTAATCCTCTGGATGATTCAGAGGCACACTGATGGGAGCACCCCACTTCTCAGTTGAGATTTACTAGCTGAGACAGCAGCAAGGGCTCTGATTACAAAGACTTGATCAGTCTCTGAGAACAGACTCCAGGACACATCCTAGGGTGCAATGAGACACTATCATAAATAATTAAATCCAAATGCTTCTTGGCAGATAAATCAGTGAAGTACATTTTGTGATGCTACAGACCAGACTACAATCCCTCCATTTGGAGGATTGGTGAGGGAAGGAGAGGTGGGTAAGAGGGGAGGAATGCTCATTTTGTGGATCCCCAGGGGTCTCACTGTATGATTCAACAAACATATCAATTTAATCAACATATTATAGGCAAGACATTCTGTGAGGCATCTGGGAATACAAAGATGAATAATAATGACAACAACAATAATAATGATAATAGCTTACGTCTATATAACACTTTATGCTTGAAAACACTTTCACACACATCATCTCTTTTGATGATACACAGTCCCTGCCCTCAAGGAGCTATTCTTACACTGAGCATTGTAACTCTGGAAGGAATGAAAGGGAAAAAACGGACCCCTGTACCGAGCATCATTACTTCCTGAAGCCACAACAGTTGAATATCCCCAGTGTTGGATGAATCTAGGACAGAAGTTCTTTCTTTTACCTGTGTTTTCATTATAAATGCTCTTACACATACTAGGCACTTGACAAATATCTATTGAATAGATTACATCAAATCTCTTATTGGTATGATTTGTTTACTTGATTTTTTGTATGTCTCTCACTTCCTATGTCATTAATTTGACTCATGTTTTTCATTCTCTATTTATTTCAGCATGCCCAGTTACTTATAAAAAAGTATTCTTAAACTTTGGAATGGAATATGGGTTAGCTATGGATGTTCCCAAAGTATATGACTACCAAATCAGGGTTTCCTTCCCTGCCCCTTCTCCTCAAGCCCTAGTCCACAGCTATGACCAAAGAATAAAGAAATTTCATATTTGGAATAGGCCCTAGAGGTCATCTAGTGTAATTCCTATCTGAATTATCAACCCTTTCTACCATGTCACCTGAAATAGTCACTCAGCTTTTGCTTGAAGGACCTTCAGCAAGAGATCTTATTACTTTTAGAGGTGGCCTATTTCATTTCAACTTGTTAGGAAATTTCTCCTTACATTGAGCTAAAATCTGCTTCCCCATCAATTATAATCCTTGATCCTAATTCTACATTTTGGTGCCAAGCAGAATGTCTAATTCTTTGAAATCAAATGCAACATACCTATACAACTTTAGGTTAGAGGCATTGGGTTGGTTTCTTTGGGGTAAAGCAGTGGATTTTTGGTCTAGATAATGTGTGGGGAAGATTAAATGTCATTTATAGTAACATTGTGATTATCTGTGCTCAAATATACCCATTTCCATATGAGACATATCCTGTCATGGTTAACAATCCTATTAGTCAATATTTGCCAGTTCCTAAGGCATGCTTTCCATAGTGGTTATTCCAAACCTCTACTCCTCTTAAGCCCTCAAATTTGATCTCTCCAAATTTTGTTTTCAGCAGATATCTTGGCTTTTGTTGAGAAAATTGAGACCATCTGGTGTGAGTTCCTTAATACTTCCTCCTTTTGGCTTCAAAGCATCTTTCTCTGCAATTTTTCTCTCACGCTTCTCTCTTTCTTCTGAGAAAAAAAAGTGCCCTCTTTCTTTTTCAAGGCTAATTCCATTCCCCTATCTATTTCTAATAGTGATAATAGATACCATCTATATAGCATCTTAAGATCTGCAAAGAGCTTTACAAGTATTCTTTCATTTTATCTTCACAACAAACCTAAGAGATAACTCCTCATCATAGTTGAGGAAAGTGAGGCAGACAACTGTTGAGTGATTTGCCCAAGATCACACAGTTACTGTCTGAGGTCATATTTGAACTCAAGTCTTCCTGACTAGGTCCAAGGCTCTATGCATTATGCCACCTAGTACCCTCTTTATAGCATCTTGAATATCTCCTTCTCCTTTGGTTCTTATTCTTCTTCCTTTAAGGATGCATAGGCTTTACTATCCCCCCTGCTCACCAAAAGTTTCTTGATGTTCTTCCCCTCTCAAGATTCTGTCTTATTTTCACTTTCCATTAATTTCTACCATTTGAAGCGTATAGACAGAATACATTGCTTCTGTTTCCTCATCATCTATTTCCTCCTTGAGCCTTTGTCATCTGATGTATACTCTTGCTATTTATCTAAATTTGCTTTCTCAAGTCACTATTGTTGACCTGTCAAATCCAGTACCCTTTCCTTAGTTTTCATCTCTTTGAAATCTCTGTATTGTTTGACAGTTTTAGCCACCCAACTCCTTGAAATTTTCTTCTCTCTTGGCCTATGTAACACACTCCTTCCTCTGTTTTCATTTCTGTCTTTTAAAAATGGCCCCTCTTTGTTTTCTAAACAAAGTCCATT